ATTTATACTTTTATATATATATATATATATATATATATATATATATATATATATATATTTCTACTTATTTATTTGGGTTAATAATATATCTATATTTTTTATTTTAATTTTTAAGTTATGTATTTTTAAATTTTATCATCGTTGCCAGCTTCATACCAATCTTATCAGTGTTCATCTTGGATAAACGCCTGTCTCTTGGGGCACCAAAATAATGCATAAATAAATCCCTAACTATGTGCTTCCATTCACTGATTCACACCAGAATTTAGGTAATGTTATGGCTTTATCCTTCTGCTACTTTCTTATTCTTTCTCTGTTTTTCTCCCTGTCACTGTTTTTGCCTTCCTATTAATTTCGTTTGGTTTCGTCCATAATTGTTGGAAACTCGTGTTCTAGTTAATAATGGTGTTTGCTTACACTTTAACCCTCATTAATGTTGAGAAATCTGTTCCGATTTTGTACTTGTTTGCTGAATGTTTGGCTAATTGGGACATTGGAGATGAGAAATCTCAGGAATCAGGATTAACATTCAAGAATTATTTTGGGTTTCTAAAAGAAGTATGATGCTACTACCAGTGCAAACTTTGAGGATGCTTTATAAAGATGAGAGATATTTTGTACAATTGATGTCATTCCTTTGTAATGTTCTATACATTCCGCAATAGTTACTGGGTCTCTAGACTGTTTCCATAAACCTATCCAGAAACACTTATAGGAGAAACAAATAAGAAAAAAGTTAGAAATAAATTTCTTCATAAACTAAAATTATTTTATGCATAAGTTAAAAATAAGATTTTAGAGAAATTAATAAGGAAAGAACCTCTACAAATTAGCTTGGACATAAACTAATTTTAACTTATGAAAAAATTTATTTATTTTTTCTCCTATAACTGCTTCTGAAGAAGTTTACCCAAAGAGACTGGTATTGTTATTTGTCAACATGTTCAAATATGTTGCTATGTTATGCTGTTTTGTAGTGGCACATAATAGTTTTAACGGGCTGGTGTTAGTGCACAAATATATGCTTCAGGTTCTAAAGTTTAAAATGCAATTTTTTGTTTATTTGGTAGTATAGAAACACAGTGCTGATTTATAATACATTCTTGGGGGCCCTTGACCTCCTTTGGTGACTGGCTACGTTAAATATCTAATGATTTTGTTTCTCCATTGATGTATGCTGATGTCATTATAAATGTTTGATTATAGGTTTAGCATTTCAACAAACAACTTTTTTCATTTTGTTGAGATATTTCTTATTTGCTTCTGTTCTTAGGTCCCGATGATTATAAAGGGATTGTTTAGAAGGTACGAAAGATGGAACCCTGTTCATCCAACTCATGGAGCCTTTTGGGGAATGGGTGTAGGCATTGGTTGTGGTGTCGGATGGGGTCCTGGGTTTGGCCCTGAAGTGATAGGCTATGTTGGAGCTGGTTGTGGAATTGGATTCAATGTAGGCATCACTTTTGCTGGTTTGGGAGTTGGCCTTCCAGCTAACTTTATCTCTGAAGCTCCATATAATGGTAAACCTCTGTCGTTAATAAGCCATTAAATGCTTTCTTAAAGTGTCACTTAATGCATAAAAGTTAGTTTATTTGTTGTATGAATTTAGCGATCTTCAGAAACTGTATTCAAACAGTACATACAAATATCACGTGCTCTTAGAATCTAGGACTCCGTGTCTTAAACTCATGCAAATTACATATGACTTGTTTAATCCAAATATTATTGCAGGGGTTAGCTGGATTAAAAATTTACTTTGTATCTCTGACTTGCAAAGTGAAGCCAGTGGGAAATTGTTTGGATTTAGGCAAAAGCATTTAGCAATCAAGGGAATTGATTTCTTTGACATGAAGAACAACTTGTCTTTGCTTACTTCTTCTACCTGTAAAAGTATACAAGCAGTCCATAACCAGATATTCTGCTCTCATAAAGGTATTGTTTTGTTTTAGAAAGTGGATATAATCTCACGTTTTTTACCTTGTATGAATTGTTTGCTCTCCTTTTTCAACTTTTTTTTATCTTGTCGTATTTGTTGCATTCATGTTTTAAATCATGCTTATCTTTATGAGTAAATTACGCCAACACATTAAGTTTTGTGAAATTGCACTGGAACCTCTTATTTTTTTAATCTTTACAGTAACCTCTCTTTCATGGAGTCACAATGTAATGCTTATCAAATAATTAAGGGGGCTTAATATAATGTCTAAGAGGTTTTGGTGTAGTATTTTTTAAATATTTAAGGGTATTATTATAGGGATAGAAAGAATAGGTAGTGTTTGTGCAATTTCACGAATCTTCAAGTGATATTTATTATGCATTTTATTCTCTTTATTTCATAGTCAAATTTTCGTCCTCTTGTTTTAGCACATTCATCTCACGGTTTGCTAGCTAGATTGACTTGCAAATTTCACTTTTGCATAAATTTATGCTTTAACTCTGACCTATCTCTCTCAAACATCATTTGTTAGCATCCTGAAATGAGACCATACTAATTTGGTTAATACATTATATAGTTTAGGTATATCACAAATTTCTATGAATTCTACTTTTCTGTTTCCGACTAATTAAAGCCCATTGTATTGCATTTTTGTGTCTATGTGTGTGTTTAAGAAAGGAGGTCTTTGACCTTGTATGAGGAAGGATATAATAGCCAAGCCAATAGGTAGTAGCACAGCTGCCTGGCTGTGATTCAATTCCAGGATGAAGCTGCCCCAAAGGAACTGTAGCTTAGCTTGGTGGATGAGCCAAATTTTTAAATTGAGTCAATCGAAACAAAGGCAATTTGCTACTAATGAGAATCTAACAAAACTCGCCCGCTACTCTTAAATTCACGATGTTTTGATTTTTTATGGCAATGATGGGAAACTGCTGTCATTAGACAAATTGCCTTTCATTTAATCTTTTTCTTTTTTAATTAGCTAGAACCCAAACTAAGACAAAGCCAAAATCATAATCATGAGAAGTACCTCCACTTTCATACTGTTTTCTCATGATAACTGTGCCTAATATGAAACATAGATTAACAACTTGTAGACAGTAAGTAGAGGTCTCCCTTCTCTAAAGTCATGTCTTTTGAAGCCAAGTACTGTTAACTGTCCTAAACTGATCTTGCATTTTATTCCAATTGTTAGTTTTTCTTTTGTCCAATTCTGATATCAAAACCAAAGATTTTCATCCCTCGGGACTTGAGCTAAGGGTGTTGGGAGTGGCATATGAATGATTTGGTTTCTTTAAGATGAATTCTTCCCATTGAAACAGTTTAAATTCCAGAATCAGAAGAGCATGTAGAAGATGAACCTCTTAAAGCAACTAGTTTGAGAGAAAGTAGTACATTATGTGCACGTGGCAAGGGTGGTTATTGGAAGATCCTTGCACTAATCTCCTTCAATGCGTAATTTCATATTTTCATTACTTGTTGAAGCTTGACGTTTGCATCTCTTATTCTGCAGGGAAAGATTGATGACTTCCAAGACTCAGTTTTGTACTTACGTTTTTGACACACCTCTAATTTTGTATTTTGTTGTCTCGGAACCGTAGCTCTTGTTCTCACAGTTAATAACATTTTGTTCCACTTATCTTTCTCTCCAAATTCAAATTCAACTACATTTTTTAGTCATTTTAAATGCGTTTCTCCAGAAAATCTCACTTCCAAATTCTGTAACCAACATATTAAAAACATAGTGGTAAGAAATAAGATTTTTTTTTAAAAAAAAAGAAAAACAAATTCAATTTCCTTGCATGTAACGCATACTAGGATAGATTATTGTCATCATTTTTCTATTTTGATAAGTTTATATGAATTGAATAATTTTCACTCATTTCAAAAGAAAAAATATAATTTAATTTGTTACATAAATTTAAGTTTGCCAAATACTTAAGTTTGATAATAATTATAGGCATAAATATGTTTGGTCTTATAAGTTTAAATAAATTTGTTTTGTTCCCTTAAATTTAAAATAAACTTTTTTGCTATGCAATTTCAGAAATGTTGTTTTAATCTCCTAAAGTGATTAATAACATAATTGATAACGTAAGTTGAGTGTAATTTGATATTTTTATTAACAAGGGTATAAGTAGGTGAATTTTGTATGACAAATACAGTAATTTGCAAGTTTTATTTAACATGTATTAAAATATATTTTTATAGGGAGGTTATTTTGTTTTTTCTTCCCAAATTACAAGAATTAAAATTTAACTTTAAATTTAAGAGGTCAAAAATATTTAAGAGACTAAAATATATTTAAACCATAATTATATATGATATAAATATATATACATCTAATTTTTTTTATTTGTAAGAATCAAACTAGGGTAAGAGTTTATAATAATTGTAACACAATTGAGTTAGAATTCATCGATATAATATACTTTTTGGATAATTTTTTTCATCAGCATTTCTAGGAGGGAAAAGTATCAAGGAAAATTAAAATAAGTTTTTCCATATGCTAAAGTAGCCTTTGCATGAGTTAAAAAAATGAGAATTTTGGAAAAGTTAATAGGAAATTTTTTTTTATAAGTTAACTTATGCATAAGTTCAGGTTATCATATAGAGAAGTTGATTGCATTTTTCTTTCTATTTTGTTCACTTAGAAGTGTTTTTGAAGAAGTTTATCCAAATAAGTACATATTTTAAATAATGCATTTATTAGCCAAAAATATATTTATATTAAAAGGTGCATTACTTAATTTATTTCACAATATTTATTATGAAGTATTTGTTCCACAATTTTAAAGTAATTATTGAGCATAAAAAGTATACATTTATATATAAAAAATAATATAAAATTCCAAATTGTCTCATTATTTTGCTAGAAACAATTTTTTTTTCATAAATAGTAAGATATTAATCTTTCAAATAAACATTGATGAATTTGTCAACAAATACTCACTCAAAACTAGTACAAAATGGATTAAAGCTACAATATATACAATTTAGTTGGCTTATTGTGCTAGCTAGACTACCATGTTAAGTGTAATCATGGCTAGCTATCTTGTACTTAAGCTAACTAACTCTAGTTAAATTTCTTGAAGTCTAGTTAATTGTCTACTTACACAAGTGTTGTGTTCATCTCACTTAGATGTTATATAACTAGCATAGAGTAATGAGTGTCTACAAGAAAGAATAAATTTAAAGATAATATATTTTTGTACAAATTATATGTGTGTATCACTTATGTAAATTAGTCTCTTTCTTGACCTTTGAATCTTCTTATATAGTAGCTCGAAGAAGATGATCGTTGTAACACTTTGAGTCCAACTTGCAATTTTACTTTGTTTGTCTTTATCGTCTTTTCTTGTGATGGTAGGTAACTATTTGGTTCATTTAATATGAACATTAACTATATTTCACCAAATGGTACCTTTTATGCAATCAGGGAGGCAGATTACTTATCATCTTTTCATATAAAATGGAGCTTGTAGAGGTAATGTCAGTGTAGTGCAACAACAATGACCTTATCTACTTTTTCTCATGATTTTAGGGATTGTCCTTAGTCCTGACGAAAAGTATGATCTTGTTTTCTTAAACAGATTTGTGAGTTCTAAGATGATTTTCTTGTTTGATCTATTAAGAAATGAATCATTCAAAAGCCTTTTGTTGTTAGTTTCAATGAATAATAAACATTTAATGTATATGAGACAGACTATATGCTTCGTCTAATTTACAATGTCTTATGAAGATCCATGTCTTGCACTTCATCTAATAATTGTTTTTTAAGATAGTTTTTAAAGACGATTTTGAGGACATTTTCTATTTATAAAAATATTTTGTTCATTAGCATTGAAACTCTAAGTTCAAGGGATCCATAATCATCTTTTGATTTAATAGTCTTCATAAACAAGTTAGATGAGGAAGGAAAAGTTGAAGAAATAAAGCTAGATTGGTGGCACAAGGCTATAATCATAAGAAAGGTATAGATTTCACTAAAACATTTGCACTTGTTGCTAGTGTTGAAGCTATCAGAATTATGTTAGCTTTTGCATCTCACAAAAATATTAAACTATTTCAAATGGATGTAATTAACGTCATTTTTAATGGAATAATTGAAGAGGAAGTTTATGTTAAATAACATCCTAGTTTTGAAAACCTAGATTTTAAAGAACATGTTTTTCAATTGAAAAGGCACTATATGGTCTTGTTAAGTCAAAAGACGATGTCCTAAATTCAAATTTTTAATGCTAAAAAATAAAGCATTTTTATGTAGAATAAATGTTTGCAAAAATGTCTTTGAAAGGTTTATTAGATAAAGTGTAAGACATAGATTGACTATAAAATGATTGTTAATTAGACAAAGCATATAATTTGTCTCATGTATATATATATATATATA